CTCACTCTGTGTGTGTGTCACTCTCTTACTCTGTGTGTGTGTGTCTCTCACTGTGTGTGTGTGTGCCTCTCTTTCGCTCACTGTTTGCCTGTGTGTCCTCCTTTCACTCACTGAGAACGTGTTTCTCTCTCACTGCGTGTCTCTCTTTCACTCACTGAGTGTGTGTCTCTCACTGAGTGTGTGTCTCTCTCTTTCACTGAGTGTGTGTCTCTCACTCTGTGTGTCTCTCTCTCTTTCACTCAATGAGTGTGTGTGTCTCTTTCTTACACTCACCGAGTGCGTGTCTCTCACTCACTGTCTGTGTCTCTCTCTCACTGTGTGTGTGTCTTTCTCTCTCACTGTGTGAGTGTCTCTCTCTGTCTCACTGTGTGTGTGTGTGTGTGTGCTCTCATCGGTTATCTGTGGGGTACCTCAAGGATTCATCCTCTTTCTGATCCTCATGCTCCCTCTTGGGGATGTTATCCGCAGACATGGGGTACATTTCCACATGAATGCAGATGACACCCAACTCTACTTTTCCACCTCTCTTTGCGACCCCACCAATCCCCTGATGTTCTGCCTGTCAGATCTCAGGGGCTGGATGAGGGCAAACTTCCTTCAGCTGAACGTTGACAAGATGGAAGCCATACTCTTTGGCTCTCGTCAACGTCTAAAATTTCACGGCTCTCACATCCTCCACCTACCCGACCTCCCCCTAAAACTCTCCAAACCCATACGCAACCCAGGGGTCAGGTTCGACCCCCAATTATCCTTCCTCCCCCACATCCGGTCCCTCACCAGCACCACTTTCTTCCACCTCCGATGCATCGCCCATCTCTGCCAATACCTCTCCCCAAAAGCCGCTGAAACCCTGGTCCAGGCCTTTGTCACCTCTCGGCTGTACTACTGTAACGCCCTCCTCACCGGTCTTCCCTTCACTACCATCCATAAAATCCAAATCATTCAGAACTCTGCCGCCCGCATTCTCACCCGCACGAACCTCCGCTCCCCGATCCCCCCAGTCCTGGCCCTCCCCCCCACCCACAAACTCCGCTCCCCGATCCCCCCAGTCCTGGCCCTCCCCCCCACCCACAAACTGCGCTCCCCGATCCCAGTCCTTGTCAGACTGCACTGGCCCCTGTCCCAGAGAGGATCGATTTCAAGATCCTCACCTTCATATTCAAATCCCTCCGCTCCTCTGCACCCCCCGACCTCTCTGACCTCCTCTCTCCTCAAAACAGTACCCGTTGCCTTTGTTCCTCCGGGTCTGGCCTCCTCCTCACCCCCGAGTCCTCCGCTCCCCCCTCGGCGGCTGTGCCTTCAGCCACTACCCCCCGAGGCTCTGGAACTCCCTTCCTCACTCCCTTCACCTCACTCCCTCCCTTCCTATTTTCAGGTCTCTGCTGAAGACCTTTCTATTCGACCGCACCTTTGGTCACCTTCACCCCCTCCCCCCACCTCCCCTGGCTCCTCCCCTCCCCTGGCTCCTCCCTCCCCTGGCTCCTCCCTCCCCTGGCTCCTCCCCTCCCCTGGCTCCCCCCCCCCTGGCTCCCCCCTCCCCTGGCTCCTCCCCTCCCCTGGCTCCCCCCTCCCCTGGCTCCTCCCCTCCCCTGGCTCCCCCCTCCCCCTGGCTCCTCCCTCCCCTGGCTCCTCCCCTCCCCTGGCTCCCCCTCCCCTGGCTCCTCCCCTCCCCTGGCTCCCCCCTCCCCCTGGCTCCTCCCCCTCCCCCTGGCTCCTCCGGCTCCCCCTCACCAGGCTCCTCCCCCTCCCCTGGCTCCTCCCCTGCCCCTGGCTCCTCCCCCTGGCTTCTCCCCCTGGCTCCTCCCCCTCGCTTGCCCCTCCATTACTGTAAAGCGCTCTGAGACGCTATCCTGTGTGGAGGGCACTATATAAACCCAAGTTGTTGATATTGTTGTTGTGTGTCTCTCTCTCTCACTGTGTGTGTGTCTCTCTCTCACTGTGTGTGACTCTCTCTCACTGTGTGTGTGTCTCTCTCAGTGTGTGTCTCTCTCTCTCTCACTGTGTGTGACTCTCTCTCACTGTGTGTGTGACTCTGTGTGTGTGTGTGTGACTCTCTCACTGTGTGTGTGACTCTCTCTCTCACTGTGTGTGTCTCTCTCTCACTGTGTGTCTCTCTCTCACTGTGTGTGTGACTCTCTCACTGTGTGTGACTCTCTCTCACTGTGTGTGTGACTCTCTCTCACTGTGTGTGTGTCTCTCTCTCACTGTGTGTGTGTCTCTCACTGTGTGTGTGTCTCTCACTGTGTGTGTGTCTCTCTCACTGTGTGTGTCTCTCTCTCTCTCACTGTGTGTGTGTCTCTCTCACTGTGTGTGTCTCTCTCTCTCTCACTGTGTGTGTGTCTCTCTCTCTCTCACTGTGTGTGTGTGTCTCTGTCTCTCTCTCACTGTGTGTGTGTGTCTCTCAGTGTGTGTGTGTCTCTCTCACTGTGTGTGTGTCTCTCTCAGTGTGTGTGTGTCTCTCTCTCACTGTGTGTGTGTGTCTCTCAGTGTGTGTCTCTCTCTCTCTCACTGTGTGTGTGTGTCTCTCTCTCTCACTGTGTGTGTGACTCTCTCTCACTGTGTGTCTCTCTCTCTCACTGTGTGTGTCTCTCTCTCACTGTGTGTCTCTCTCTCACTGTGTGTGTGACTCTCTCACTGTGTGTGTCTCTCTCTCACTGTGTGTGTGTCTCTCTCACTGTGTGTGTGTGTCTCTCACTGTGTTTTTCTCTCACTCACTGTGTGTGTCTCTCTCTCTTACTGTGTGTATGTCTTTCTCGCTCTCACTGTGTGTGTGTCTCTCTCACTGTGTGTGTCTCTCTCTCTCACTGTGTGTGTGTGTGTGTGTCTCTCTCACTGTGTTTTTCTCTCACTCACTGTGTGTGTCTCTCTCTCTCTTACTGTGTGTGTGTCTCTCTCTCTCACTGTGTGTGTGTGTGTCTCTCTGTGTGTGTCTCTGTGTATGTGTCTCTCTGTGTGTGTCTCTCTGTGTGTGTGTCTCTCTCTCTCTCTCTCTCTGTGTTTCTCTAACTCACTGTGTGTGTGTGTGTGTGTCTTTCTGTCACCGTGTGTGTCTTTCTCTCTCACTGTGTGTGTGTCCCTCTCTCTCTCAGTGTGTGTGTGTCTCTCTCTCACTGTGTGTGTCTGTGTCTTTCTCTCACTGTGTGTGTCTTTCTCTCTCTCTGTGTGTGTGTGTGTGTCTTTCTCTCACAGTGTGTATCTCTCTCACTGTGTGTGTGTCTCTCTCACTGTGTGTGTCTCTCACTGTGTGTGTCTCTCACTGTGTGTGTGTCTCTCTCTCACTGTGTCTCTCTCTCACTGTGTGTGTGTGTGTCTCACTGTGTGTGTGTCTCTCTCTCTCACTGTGTGTGTCTCTCTCTCTCACTGTGTGTGTCTCTCTCACTGTGTGTGTCTCTCTCTCTCACTGTGTGTGTCTCTCTTTCTCACTGTGTGTGTCTCTCTCACTGTGTGTGTCTCTCTCTCTCACTGTGTGTGTCTCTCTCTCTCACTGTGTGTGTCTCTCTCTCTCACTGTGTGTGTCTCTCTCACTGTGTGTGTCTCTCTCACTGTGTGTGTCTCTCTCACTGTGTGTGTCTCTCTCACTGTGTGTGTCTCTCTCTCTCACTGTGTGTGTCTCTCTCTCTCACTGTGTGTGTCTCTCTCACTGTGTGTGTCTCTCTCACTGTGTGTGTCTCTCTCACTGTGTGAGTCTCTCTCACTGTGTGAGTCTCTCTCACTGTGTGTGTCTCTCTCACTGTGTGTGTCTCTCTCACTGTGTGTGTCTCTCTCTCTCACTGTGTGTGTCTCTCTCTCTCTCTGTGTGTGTCTCTCTCACTGTGTGTGTGTGTGTCAGGTTGAAGGCTGTCCCAGACTGAGTCCGCTCTCAGCACTAAGTTCCCGCGAATCTCCCACTTCCCATTCATCTGCACTGTATAAAGGAGCGGATCCAAGAACAACATTGAAAGCGAACTCCTGAACCGCTTTGAAAAGCTTCTCAAGTACATTGGAGCTCAGTCTCTCTCTGTACCTCTGCGCTGTGGCTGAGGGCAGTGCGTGAGGGTCTCTCCCCCTCCGACACACTCACACACACCCCTCACTCTCCCACACACTCACACACCCCTCACTCTCCCACACACTCACACACACCCCTCACTCTCCCACACACTCACACACACCCCTCACTCTCCCACACACTCACACACACCCCTCACTCTCCCACACACTCACACACACCCCTCACTCTCCCACACACTCACACACACCCCTCACTCTCCCACACACTCACACACACCCCTCACTCTCCCACACACCCCTCACTCTCCCACACACCCCTCACTCTCCCTCACTCTCCCACACACCCCTCACTCTCCCACACACCCCTCACTCTCCCACACACCCCTCACTCTCTCACACACTCACACACACCCCTCACTCTCCCACACACCCCTCACTCTCCCTCACTCTCCCACACACCCCTCACTCTCCCACACACCCCTCACTCTCCCACACACCCCTCACTCTCCCACACACCCCTCACTCTCCCACACACCCCTCACTCTCCCACACACTCACACACACCCCTCACTCTCCCACACACTCACACACACCCTTCACCCACGTACACTTCCCCCAATACACCCTCACACACACATACTCCCCCCCCCCCCCCAGGCTGACACTGACAGCACTCTCTGACCCCCCCACACCCCGAGTGTAACCCGTTCTACAACAAACTAATGGCATTTTCGCCCCACATTGAAAGTCTGGAATTTTGAGAGACTCAGTGACAGAGAGAGATAGTGAACTGATTCCCACTCCCCCCTCACTCCCCCTCCTTCCTCACTCACCATCTCCCTCCCTGGTCCCCCCTCTCGCTCCGTCTCCCATCACTCCCCCCCCTCTCCCCCTTTTCTCACTCTCCTCCCCCCACTCCCCAGTGAATGAGGCAAAATCCCAGTCCCTCTCCCCCACAGGTGAGCCATTGCCAACCATTGTGTGGCTTCCAGCTCTGACCTCACTGATGGTGGAAACAATCCCAGTGACTGACGCAGAGCGGCTCAGAGGCAGCGATTGGGTTCTTTATCTCTAAACCTACACATAAATACAGACACAAACCCCAGAGAACGTCCCACAGCTGCAGCTCTCCACCACCTGAAACCTGCACGAACACACACAGCAGCACAGACAGACACACAGAGAGAGAGAGAGAGAGGTAAGAGTTTTCAATGTGTTTTACCCCCAATAATCAGAAAAGATTCAGAAAGAAAGGCGTGAAACAGATAACTGAGTTAATGCATGTCTGTGTGACAGAGGCCAGAAATGTTTTTATCAAAAAAAAAGGGAAATGCAACCCACTGAGGCTTCACCTATGATTTGCAAAACATCAGCACTTTCCCTCCTGTTCACAATTCACTTCACAACAATAAGCAAATTGAAGTGAAAAGTGAATGGAAAATTGCAGGACTTTCAGCACATTGTGATCTGAGAGCTGAGTCTAACAGCAGTCACTGTCACTCAATAATCTTTCACTCAGATTTTTAAGACTGATTCACTTAATAAATAATAATTATTTGGTCACTCAATCTATTTGTTGCTGTGTGCAATTGGCTGCTGCATTTTGTCCACAAAATATACAGTCAATTCAATTTACAGTGTATCCTGTGAAGCACTTTCAGATGTCTAGAAAGACGTGATAAGGTGCTGTGTCAAATGCAAAAATTATAATTATATTGATTTCAAATAATACTTTTTTTGCTTTTTTTGTGGCTTGAAATGAAGCTGGGTTTAAAGCAGGTGAGTATGAGCTGACACTCTGTCACACCCAGACCTGGCTCACACTCACACTCTGTCACACCCAGACCTGGCTCACACTCACACTCTGTCACACCCAGACCTGGCTCACAGTCACACACTGTCACGCCCAGACCTGGCTCACAGTCACACACTGTCACGCCCAGACCTGGCTCACTGTCACACACTGTCACGCCCAGACCTGGCTCACACTCACACTCTGTCACACCCAGACCTGGCTCACACTCACACACTGTCACGCCCAGACCTGGCTCACACTCACACACTGTCACGCCCAGACCTGGCTCACAGTCACACACTGTCACGCCCAGACCTGGCTCACAGTCACACTCTGTCACGCCCAGACCTGGCTCACAGTCACACACTGTCACGCCCAGACCTGGCTCACACTCACACTCTGTCACACCCAGACCTGGCTCACAGTCACACACTGTCACGCCCAGACCTGGCTCACAGTCACACACTGTCACGCCCAGACCTGGCTCACTGTCACACACTGTCACGCCCAGACCTGGCTCACACTCACACTCTGTCACACCCAGACCTGGCTCACAGTCACACACTGTCACGCCCAGACCTGGCTCACAGTCACACACTGTCACGCCCAGACCTGGCTCACTGTCACACTCTGTCACGCCCAGACCTGGCTCACAGTCACACACTGTCACACCCAGACCTGGCTCACAGTCACACACTGTCACGCCCAGACCTGGCTCACAGTCACACACTGTCACGCCCAGACCTGGCTCACAGTCACACACTGTCACGCCCAGACCTGGCTCACAGTCACACACTGTCACGCCCAGACCTGGCTCACAGTCACACACTGTCACGGTGTCAGTGCTGGGCCAGGCTGACCCTGTGCCTGTTGTGTGCTGCCAGATGTTGTGCTGTCGCCACCTTCCTGTCCTGATGTTGCTCAGCAGCGCCCCCCAGTGGTGCAGCAGGAGTGTGGAGTGGGCGGAGCCTGCAGACAGCACACCTGGAGGTAAGGTGAGTGTCTGCGGAAACCCATCGCTGTCGCTTAAAAGTAGCCAAACCGAGCTGAGAATTCCATACATCCTACCCACACATGGAAATCCAGAGATATTTATTGGAATGCGCACTTTCTCTCTCTCCCTGGAGGGACGTATCTGCTTACCTAATTCAGGAAAGTATTAGGCGCAGGTTGGCAAGAGCCAAGACTTCGGGGAAGCTCAGAGCGTGTGTTGGGGTAACTGCTGGAGTCTAACCAGTTAAAACCACACAGCTTGCCATTGGTATCTCTGTACCAGGATGGTACCAGGAATGAGGGACTTCAGTGATCAGGAGAGGCTGGAGAAGCTCGGATTATTCTTCTTAGAGTAGAGGAGGTTAAGAGGAAACTTAATAGAAATTTTCAAAATGATGAGGGTATTCAATAGGGTGAACAAGGAGAAACTATTCCCATTGGCGGGTGGGTCAGTAACCCGAGGACACCGATTTAAAATAGTTGTTCAAAGAAACAGAGGGGAGGGGAGGAGAAATGTTTTCACAGAGTTAATTCTGTTGGGATCTGGAATGCAAAGCCTGAAAGGCTGGAAGCCGATTCGATAACAACTTTTAAGAGGGAAGTAGATAATTACTTGGGGAGGACAAGTTTGCAGGGCTATGGGGAGAGACCGAGTGTTGGGGTTGAATTGAAAGCTCTTTTTATAGCGCCGGCACAGACACGATGGGCCAAATGGCCTCCTTCGTATAATTATAATTCTATGATTCTGGAATCAGGGACAGAGATTGGAGGAAAGTGAAACTGTATTCTCCTCTCAGGTATCTGCTTGCTCGGCCCCTGGCGATGGGGGCTTGGGGTGGGCGTGCGCGGGGGTGAAGGCCATGGAAGTCACAGCCAAGCTCCACTCCCTCAGTGGCCTCACAGCCTCCAACAAAGACGTCACTGAGAAAAAACGCAAGAGAAGCTTCCCCAACTTCAGCTCTCCCATCGACCAGATCTCCCTCAGACGGCAGAAAACCAACGGCAAACCACGGTGAGTGTGTAACCACTGGCACCGGGCAGCAACCCCCCAAACTCTCAACCTCAACAGTATATTCTGTTAAGAGTTTGAGACAACTCAGAGATGTGATAAAGTGCTACATCAAATACAAGGATTATTATTATGAGCAGATTAACCTCTTACTAGAATCTCATAATCCTGAGGTGGGTTTAAACCCACAACCTTCTGAGGTGAAAATGTCAGTGGAGGTCACCTGCACATAGTCCTGGCTACATATTGCTGCTAACATAAACCCTGTTTGATGCACATCCTTTCAGATGAGGTTAGTCCGAGGTCCAGTCTTCCTGGTCCAATAGACATTAAAAGATCCCTTGGCACCGTTCAAAAAGAGAAAGGGTTTCTCTCTCTCTCCCCCTGTGGGTGACTTGGCCGACAATCCCCAGATAAAATCAATCATTCACTTCATGGCTGGGTGTGGCTGGCACATTTGCCAACAAGTGACACAGCACATTTGCCAGCAGTTATCTGTGAAGAGGTTTGAGATATTTTTATACCATAAGAAAGCTGAGCTCATACATTCTCTAATCAGACACTGAATGACCAGATCCACAAATATACAAATGTAGATCCACAAATATACAGTCAATTCACTTTACAGTCTATTCTGTGAAGCGCTTTGAGAAGTCGAGAAGACGTGAAAAGCGTTACATCAAATGCAAGGATTATTATTATACTATTATCCCCAGTTACTGCAGGCAGCGGGTGAGGACAAGTGAGCCGTGTTACTCCGTATTGTTGAGTAACACTGAGCATTGAGCAATGCTGTGCCCAGCACAGAGCACTCAGACTCCGAGCAGCGGCTTTGTGTGTTGTATATAATAATCCTTGCATTTGATACAGCGCCTTATCACGCCTTTGAGATGTCTCAAAGCGCTTCACAGAATATACTGTAAAGTGAATTGACTGTGTGTTTTGTGGGCAAAACGCAGCAACCAATCGGGCCCAGCAGCGTCCCACAAACAGTCGTGGATTGAGTGACCAAAGTATTATTATTATTTTCCGTGTGTGAACCAGCTTCAGACCTCTCCTCATTCCTGCAGGAACGTGCTGGCAGGCCGCAGGAAGCAGCCCAGTGTGCCGCTGGATCAAATTGGCAAGAGCAGCTTACCGAAGCGCCGAGGCTAGCGAGGGCATGGGCATTCCATCCTACAACTCACACCGCCACACTCCCTGCTCTTCTTCAAAGTAGCACCACAAGATCTTCACCATCCGGCAAACAGGAGCCAGGTTTAACATCTGACCTAAGGCACGGCACTGATGGCAATGTAGCCTCCCCGTTGTCTGTCTCCCAGTGTCCTGGCCAACATTCCCTGCCCCCACTTCTTTGTGACCGGAACCATTGGTTGCTGCATTTGCCCATAAACAGCGTTTAACCTCAGAGGAACTCAATACATAAAGCACTTTGAGACGTTTTAACCTGACAAGAGTTTTGTATGAAATGTCAATACCATATCATTCATGTATCAGGAGGTCTGTGAGGAGTTGTGTAAATCATGTGTAAACACATGGTTTGAGTGCACTATATGTAAACCACGTGTCCAGGCAGACGGAATTAAAGCTGCTCTTAATTATGTGATTAGCAAAGAGTGAATTGTTTACACACAGGTTTGCAAACAGTGTGTTTACACATGGTCCACGTGACTGGCAGAATCAGAGCTGTGAAGTTTTGGTATAAATAAAACAAGAGACTCTCACCGATGCTTGCCGGTGTTGGACAGTGTCTATGATCCTCCAACAGACTGACTGTGTCTGCGTCTGTCAGGGCTGCTGGCTGGGGTCTGCCTGCTGCCCACAATAGACACTCTCCATGATTTTGGTCTCATTCCAGCAAGTTCTAAATTGCAACATACACTCTGGGCTCCCCCAAAGCCTTGGCTCTCACCAACCTGGACCTAATACTTTCCGGAAGCAGGATGTGTCCCTCCAGGGAGAGAGAGAGTGCATTCCATTCCAACAATCTATCTCTGGGATTTCCATGTGCAGGTGCGATGCAGGGAATTCTCAGCTTGGTTTGGAGACTGTCAAGCAACAGTGACAGGTTTCCGTGTGTGTCAGACACTCGGCTGAGCAAAAATAAATGCTGGAAACTATGGCTGCTGTGACACCGAGTCACCACCAGTTGGTGGTGGAGGATAGATTCCGAGGTTGCAATACCCTGAGATTCTCTCTCTCGCCTTGTTCATAATCAGTTATTGGCTGTTTAGTTATTATTTACTGTAGTTAGTTATTATATATTTAGTTATTAGTGCATACATGCAGTGGTATGTATATTACACAAATGTACATGCACACAGACATGCACACTCACCTCACACACACGTGCACATTTATACACACAGGCAGGCGTGCTCTCGGAGGCTCAGACAAAATGTGACTGATTTAATCGCCTGGAATTACTTGACTGGTCTAAAGACAAAACACAACTTGCTGTGAACATTCAAGACTGAAGGATTCCATCAGCTATAATCCCAGCAACGAGACGCCCATCAGGAAGCCCTGAAATTCCACTTAGTCTTAGCCTTTGAGCCTTATCTATTTAACATTATTTCATCTTCAAATTTAAGATGGGGAAGAATTCTTAAATTCGCTCTTAATTTCGATGCCTTTTGTTTCAAGGAAAGACTAGATTATAGATTATAGATTCTCTATATTTCTGTGTCATTTTACATTTTAAAATGAAATAGTCTGACAGGCTGAGAACAGGGGGAATTCGTGCACAGAGAGCCTTGTTCACTCCGGAATCAACAACAACAATAAATTGCATTTCTATAGGGACTTTCACATCACAAGGACGTCCCAAGGCGCTGGACAATGAAGGGTTTGCACCCGAGCTGGGGGTGGAGGGTGGGGAAATGGAGGAAGGAAGATGGCCAAAGGCGCGGTCAAAGTGGAAGGTCTTGAGATGGGCCTTGAAAGAGACGAGACACCGCGTCCATAATGGGTGTTCCGGGAGGAGCCATGTTCTCAAATGCAGTATTTCCAGAAGCAAACTGGGAGAGAAGGAGATTCACGTCAGCAATTGGCAATGAGTGAGTGATACTGATGACAGACACCATATTCCCCTCTCACCCCAGACTATGGTTCTGATTAACAACTCGTACAGTCCACAGGCAAAATGTGAGAACATCCCTCACAAGAGTCCGTGGGGCCTGTGGCACGGCTGTGCTCTGACCCACTTCCGTTGTGCTGGGACGCTGGCAGGAAGTGGTAGGTTAGGGCCGGGGTTGGGGTAGGGGACTACAGACTCCCCAACTCCATCACTTAGTTGGGCTCTAAATCCCTCCACGTTGTCCAGCCAGTGAGGATGGATTGCGAGGGTAGAGGGATCTGTGACGTTTAATTAGACATGAGGGTAAATTGGACACACTTGCCTCCTGCGGGTAAGTATTGTTAACGCTCTTTGTTGTTCTGAATTTGAGAGAAAGTTTATGTGATTTTTCAGCAAATCCTTAGCTAATCAGATGTGGCAGCGCCCGGCCCCACCCTCGCTAATGGAATGGTTACCTCGTTTCTGGGAACGCTTCCAGGAAGGATTGTTCCCAGATCCAGACACCTGGGAATTCCTGAGCTCTGCAACTGCCTCATTAACACGTTCCCACTGGAGAGACAGAGAACCAGGTCCATTTAGTAACCATCAAACAGGGCAAATTGTTAGCTCCTCCAGCTGTTCAGTTCATCATGTCTGTGCTGGTGCTCGCTCCCCCACTGGAGCTCTCTACCCCCATTCCCTGCTCTCTCTCTCCCCATGGTGTCTGTGGTGGTGCTCGCTCCCCCACTCGAGCTCTCTACCCCCATTCCCTGCTCTCTCTCTCCCCATGGTGTCTGTGCTGGTGCTCGCTCCCCCACTGGAGCTCTCTACCCCCATTCCCTGCTCTCTCTCTCCCCATCGTGTCTGTGCTGGGGCTCGCTCCCCCATTGGAGCTCTCTACTCTAACCCCATTCCCTGCTCTCTCTCTCCATCGTGTCTGTGCTGCGGCTCCCTCACCCACTGGAGATCTCTAACCCCATTCCCTGCTCTCTCTCTCTCCCCTCATCGTGTGCTCTCTCCCCATGGTGCTTACTCCCCACTGGAGTTCTCTACAGATTGTTTGGATGGGTATTGGGGTGGCTGGGGGGGGGAATTGGGGTGGTTAGGGGGTATTGGGGTGGGTAGGGGTGTATTGGGATTTTTAGGGGAGTATTGGGGTGGTTACGGGGCTGTTGGGGTGGTTGGGCAGGTATTGGGGTGGTTGGATAGGTATTAGGGTGGTTAGGGGGGTAATTGGCGGGGTATTGGGGTGGTTGGGTAGCTATTGGGTGGTTGGGTAAGTATTGGGGTGGTTGGTGTGGTATTGGGGTGGTTGGGTAGGTATTGTGGTGGCTGGTGGGTATTCGGGTGGTTGGGTAGGTATTGGGGTGGTTGGGGGAGTCGGTATCGGGGGACGGAGTACTGACCTCTACAAATTTCATGAAGGCCTTCTCCACATTATTTCCTGTTCCTGGAACGAAAGACAAAAAGTCAGCCGCTGAGGAATATTGTCTGCAAATAACAGCTGGGAGACACATCTGTTAACAGGGTGGGTTTGGAGTGGGAGTTAAGTGGGTTCAGGCCACATGTTGGAACTTGGAACTCATATTGTCCAGTGCAGTGCTGGGTGAGCGCTGTATTGTCGCAGGTGCCTCCTTCAGAGGAGCTGTTAAACCGAAGTCCTATCTGCCCAGTTGTTGCCTGGTGTCCTGGCCAACAATCCCCCAAATAAAATCGTTCACTCACTTTTTGTGAAACCATGTTGTACGCAAATTGGCTGCCGCATTCATCAACACACAGTCACTTCACTACACAGTCACAAATAATCCCTTAAAAAAAATGTGGTCACTCAATCCACGACTGTTTGCGGGACGCTGTTGTGCAATTGGCTTCCGTGCTTCGCCCACAAAGTATACAGCTAATTTACTTTACGGTATATTCTGTGATGCACTTTGAGACGTCTCAAAGACGTGATTAGGTGCTATATCAAATGCACGGATTATTTCTATTATATTACACTGAACAGTAAATTCTGTGAAGCTTTAAGACGTTCTCCTGACGTGAACTTTTTTTAAAAAAATGTATATTTATTTGAAAATATATTTGGTAAAACCATAACCTCAAAAAAACCAAAGTACAACATCTCCCATGACACCACTTTTCTCTGTATCCCGACACCAAATATGTTGTTCTTTTCATTATGACGTGAACGGCACTTTATCAAATGTAAGATTATGTTTATTTGATTTTGTGTTTTCCAACTCGTTCAACAACAATTTACATTCTCACATCACCTTCGCTGCTCCCAGAGACACACACTGCCCCCCAGCCAGTCACTGACAGAGCCCCCACCCGCCTTGTGCACCTCTCTTCATTGTCCTCGTGCTGGTGAGAGCAATCACGACAAGTGAAGTCTTTGTCAAAATTGTCACCATTGACCAAACAGGATACTCACTTCTCATCATCAAAGCACAGAGCTGATGAGGAGAGGTTCTGGCGCAGTTGAAACAAGCGGCTCAAAGGGAAGCGGGCGATTTGTTAACGATGTGACAGAGAGTGAGGGCTGAATATTAATGCCCTGATATGAAAGGAGATTTCAAACTCTCTCACTGCAGATTGTCCACTTCCTGATTAAATACACTTGAAAGGAGTTCCCGCTTTCATCCACGTTCAAAGCAAAAGTCATTAGCATTGGGCACTGGCTGTGATGTTAGTGAAGCAGCATTGGATATGAGAGCGCAATCAGCCCCTACCCCATCCCTCACTGCCCTGCCCCCCTCCCCCCTCACTGCCCTGCCCCCCCCCCTCACTGCCCTGCCCAACTCCCCCTCACTGCCCTGCCCCCCCCCCTCACTGCCCTGCCCCCCCTCACTGCCCTCCCTCACTGCCCTGCCCCCCCCTCACTGCCCTGCCCCCCTCACTGCCCTGCCCCCCTCACTGCCCTGCCCCCCCAGTGCCCCCCCTCACTACCCCTCACTGCCCTGCCCCCCCTCACTGCCCTGCCCCCCACTCACTGCCCCATAGTATGAGGCGCGATGATGATATTGTATTATTACCTGTAAATGTTAGTTTCTCCCATTTGTGTGGAGTTATTGCCCTCAGGATCACAGTCAGCACAGCACTGGGGAGGCCAGAGTCACTGTTCTCAGCTCCAGCACATGTCACCCGGTCTGTAAGAAAGAGGGAAGTTTATATTGAACAATACTAAGTGTGGCTCTCTGTGTTCATCACCTGTGTATCTACTCTACCCCCATTCCCCGCTCTCTCTCGCTCCCTCCCCATGGTGTCTGTGCTGGGGCTCGCTCCCCCACTGGCGCTCTCTACTCTTGATGGACAAGTAATTTCTGACTACAAGGGTCAATCCCTCAGATTAAAAAAAAATCAATCATGAGCTTCCTGGCCGTTTGCTGTTACACCTCCAAACACAGTCACAACAGAAAGACTCTGACACCTTTGATTCCTGTGAATGATGACGACTGTCATTCTGATAATAAAGGCAAGGAATTCCTCAGAACAGACCTCCTCCCTTAGTAACCTGACAATCAGAGTGACCAAAACAACAAA